AGGGGAAAAAAATTTACTCCCCCCCCCCCCCCCCCCCCAAGATTTTTTATTACCTGCGCAGTTTTAGAAGCAAGAGAGCATCAGCAGAAAAACTCATTTTCTCACTGCTGCCATCTTCACTTGCTACTGACGAGTTCGAGGGCATTTGAGGTCGGTTGGGTGATACTATGAACTCGGGTGCACTCTCTTCTCCCATTAATTAGTTTGACTCTGCAGGAATTAGTAGACTTTTATTCATTGAAGGAAGAACCGCCTGCATTTTCACTTCCATTTTTTCCATTGTCTGCTGATCCTGTCCAATGCAAAAGACGAATTACCCCCCTACCCCCCCCCCTAGCAGGAGAGCATTATCTTGATTGTTACTCAATATCCTCTTTCTATGCAGTTTTGTCAACTTGGGTAATTTGATATTCATGGAATTGCATTCTTGGTAGACTACAACAACTTCCATGCCCATTTAGGAAACCTCTTACCAGTGCTCATTCTGTTCAGCGGGGGGTGTGCACAGATGGGCTTCAAACCACTACTACAGACGTAGCATCGACGTAAAAAACAACACATATACTGCCGTTTCCTGTTCGTATTTTTGGCAACTCCTGAGTCGAATGTATTGAAGAGATGATCATTATTTTTTTTTTTCAAATCTAAATAGTATTTGGCAAGTCAGATTCTTTGAACCATACTAGTTTTCGCTAATTTTGTCCTACACCCCCCCNCCCCCCCACCTCCTTCCCACCCTCCTCACCCCCTCACACTTCGTTTAATAAACGATTAGGACACGCGGACTGTCCGCGAAAATAGGCGAGAATTAGGGGTTGTGTATGAGGTTGTTGTATGGCCAAGGACAAACATTGAGGTCGTAGCATTAATTGTAGGTTTCATGCCTTCATCTTCGACTTGAAAAAAACTTGTACCCCCTCGTAAATCCCCATACAACAAAAAATAATTATCTTATGGAATTTAATAAGTTCATAAAAATCAAGTTAGAAGGAGATATTGCTTGTCAGGAAATTGTTAACAACTTTAGGCAATTAAATGACCACTACCAGAGAGGAAAAGGAGACGAAAAAAAGGAGGAGAATTATTAGCCCAAAAATTAATTTCGATTTGGTTACTTGTCAGTAATCATCAGAATTTGATCTCTGCTTGACGTGAGAAGGACGAGAGAGCATGGTGAGACAAGAGATGTGGGGGGGGGGGTTTAAAAATCAGCTACTTAGGGGAAGCTGTGTCCTACTTCGAAAGGTACAACTCACCTTGAATCCCTTCCCCTCAATGATCTCTGATGGCAGCATCTCCTGAATCAGAAAGTAAGCGAGGCGTTTCTCCAGAGGTTCTGCCCTCAAAATCGTCCCTTTCTCCTTAGTTTCCAGCAGTTTATTCTTTGGTTTTTCAAGTTTTGACTCCTCATCTCTATGCACACTCAAGTCTTCAGGAATCTCCATTGCATTCGGACCAACTTCAAGAGAGGAGCACTTCTAAAGCGTTGTCAAATAGTTAGCTTATACTTTCAAATAATTAACCTCTAATTTTTTTCCAGAGTCCTTACCGCTGGCCTCATCTGTGGAGGTATATAAACAGGTCTGGTGCGTTTGCGTTTAGCGGTTCCAATAGATGCCTCAGAATTACTTGCCACTGGCTTAATACTACTAGATGTTGACGTAGCAGGGAGAGGAAAGTTCGAAGCTGAATTCTGTGGTGATGATCCGGGCTGGGGCATAGACGGTGGTGGAACACAACCTTGAGAAGCCAAGAGAGCTTGAGATCTCGAGAGAAGACTCATCACTAAGGGATTATTATGCACCAAATTTGAAAGTAATTCAGGAGGCACATGAGGGAAAAGTGGCCCATTTGGTGAACCATCAGCATGTTGCTGTCCTGACATACCTGGAAGACTTTTCAAAAAGTCTTCCATGGCGGCAAAGTTTGTGGGGGCGCTGTTATTCGGGAGAGAATTCGCCATCCTGCTACCGCTTGTACTACCATTTTGACTAGGAAGACCTGGAAGGGTTGAGAGCCAGGCTTTTGCAGCTGCAAGAGGACCAGAATCTGGTTGAATCTGTTCAGCGGAATCCTCTGAACTACTTGAAGAACTTGGTGGAAGAAAAGATTGGAAGTTTGATGGCAGGAAACCTGTTAGTTGGGGCATCAGAGAGCCTGTTTCCAAAGGAGGGGGCAGGGAGAATAAAGGGGGGATGAATGGGCTCGATCCGCCTGCTGGAAGTTGTTGGAGGCCACCAAGAAACATGGATGGAGGTAACAAACCCACAGCTGCAGCTGCCTCTGCCGCAATTGATTCCGGTGATGGCATTGCCTGTCTGTTCCCATTATTAAATCCAGGGAAACCTAGGAAAGGTTGAAGATGGCCTCGCTTTTGATTTGTTTGCTTTGAATCCTGCTGTAAAAATGAAACCCCTACTTTTAGTAAGCAGAATTCGATAGCCTCGCGTTAGTATTCTCATGTTCATTGTTATGGCAACAGAACAAAAGGATAAACGCGTGTCAGTGCATCATTCGGACATGCCTAATTGACCCCACAAAAGGTGTTGTGTGATATTATAAGAAGAGCATTGAAATAAAGAGAGGTATTTGGTGCTTCGCTACGCTGATCAAGTAACATTTTTTACCACTCAGCTCGGCACACTGTGATTATGGCTGTCAAATGCATATCAACACACACTGATGATAGAAGCCGACAATAGTGCCTCTTGTTTTGACTTGTCTCGAATACTCTTCTTAATCAATGTGTGTGTCTGTGTCTGCGTTAACTGAAACACGACAACACCACGTCAAAATTTACTGGCAAATTCCCCCACCCTCTCCCCCCCTCACCCCCCCCACCCC